AAAAAATGAAAATTCTCTTGGACAAGCATGTGTTGGAAAATGCTATCAGCAGAAATGGTGATTGTGGCGGGCAATGCAATGTTGGATGGTATTATGCAGAAGGTTTTGGTACAATTAAAGATGATAAAAATGCAGCATCGGAACTACAAAAAATGAAGAGGAAGCATTTAGATGGTACGTGATTGCCGCAAAAGGTGGAGATAACTAAGGGCAAGGAGGTCTTGGACTTTGTTATTTAAAAGGCATTGGCACAATTAAAGATGAAATATAGCATTTATTTGGTTATTAAGATCAACAGAATGTGGAGAAGCCTATTCACAATTTGTCGTGGGAACTTGCTACAATGACGGTGTAGGTACTGCAAAGAATCAAAAAAAAACTCTTGAATTGTTTGTGAAGGCTGCTGAAGGAGGGAATATTATGGCACTCCAATTTGTATCCGAACTTCTGTCAGGTCTCTCTTCCTAATTTTCCTTTCGGATGATGCACAAGTCCTACGGTATGAGATTTTTTTTTGTTTTGAGCATTTGTGAATGTGCATACTGTATGTCCAAATAAGTTTACGAGACCGATTTTACACAGTTCCATGCGTCTCAAACTTTAGCAATCTAGACTTTTTGCTAATTCCAATTCATAGTAAAAAAGTTAGGAGTTTTTCTTTAAAGAAAAATTGGTCAGATGGACTACTTATATTACTGTAATAACTTGGACGCAGGGTATAATTTTAAGAGTGTAAAAACATAATCATAATTTGTATTATTAAATATATATATACTATAGATGGGTGACGAAATTATTTTAACAATGACGAAATTGACAAAATTATAAGTGACGAAAATATTTTCATAGTGACGAAATTGACGAAATACTTATTTCGTCAAATTTCTTCAATTTCGTCACCCATCACTAATATATACACATTTTTGATATGAAATTTTTTAATGCATAAAAAGATAATACTATAATAAAATAAATTAGGGCTCTGCAAATTCCTATGCAATCAATATCAATATAATAAAGATTAATGTACATAATTTGTTTTTTGCTAATTATTAAATATCAATTTTTTAACACTATTAATATGTTTATAGCAAATCTAGCGTTACCATCAATCGAGGGCGCAGGCAATGGATCATCTGACCTATCATTGTCTTCCGACTCTGATTACCTACAAAGCTATTATGTAAATCGAATGACTAATTATATACAAAAAAATAGTTTATTGTTGTAGTTTTTTAATATTGATATTCTTATCGTTTGTAATTAAGGTTATTATTACGATTAAAGCATGAAAAAAAATAAAGATTCTTTATATACTTGTACAAGGTGCTATTGTGATTGACCATTTGAAGACTTTATTGTTGGTGAAAATGATATTTGAGCCTGTTGTATGACTTGTCACATTAGTTCTTCACAGGCGAAAAAACAGAAGTGACAAGAAACTAACGATTTCATAGCCGAAAAGGAAAATATTATGAGTTTTACCGATATTAAAGATTTCATATATTATGCATTTTTGAAACATAAAAACTTAGATGATAACTTAGAAGGACAAGCTTCTTTTCAACTTCAATTCAATATTGATCTAGATTCTATTTATAAGAATACTTCAACTAAAGATATCATCAAAGAAAAAAATTCATATATCGTTGATTTAGTTATTAATGAAATTAGTTGTGGAGATGGATATATCTATATATTTAATAAGAAATATAATAGTAAAAATTCTGACTTTACAACATTAACATATTGGTGCAATGCTCGAAAAGAATTGAGTAAACCACAAAGAAAGGTTGAGGATATTTCAAAGCAACATAATAGTGAGCCGTATATTGAACATTATGAATATAAAGGTCTAGTTATAGTTAAAATTTATTTGCAAAACAAAGTAACTGTTAATGTATCTTATAATATTTTACATCCACGATTAGAAAAATTAGTGTAACAAAAGAAATTAAAAGCTACATAAATTCTTGTATCAGACAAAGTGTACCAAACATTTATTAGTTGATTAAGGACCAACATATAAATAGATATGAGTTTCTAACAATTAAGCAGGTTTATTATTGGTGGTCATCTATTGTGCAAGTTGAATATCGATATTGTGATGATGAACTTGCTTCAGTAAGAACTTTTTTACAAAAGCAAAATCAAAAAATTCTTTTTTTTGAAGATTATGGTTTTGCTTTTGTAACTGCTTTCTTTGATATATTGCTCTTAAATAAACTAATAGAACTAATAGTAGATGCGATATATAATACTAACAAATATAAGTATGAATTATATGTAGCTATGGCAATCGTGGATGGTGCCGGTTTTCCTATTTCTTATTTATTTATACCACCAGTCAAAAATCATAATATTACTAGTATTATTACAGAATGGTTTATG